TTTCACCAGCAGAGTGTGCTACATGGATTACAACAAGCTCCATCACAGTGTCAAGCAGCTTACTTTCCAGTTGGGTGACCATCTGTTCTTCATTACACATCTTTTCCACAAGTGTTTGATAACTGTATTTGAGTATTTAACATGATAAATGGGTATATCTAGATTTATCTCTACAGATCAAAGATAGATCTAAGAATGATATCGGCCGATATATCGGTATTGGAGTCTTTCTCTACCAAATATCAATAACTGCAAAATCTCATATCTGTTGGGCCCTTAATTAAAAATACTGAATCTGATGCTGCAACTTCATACAATAGAGCAGTTTGAATCAACTTTTCACTGCACATAATATTGTTCGATAACATATGTCACATATTACATTGACCTTCAAAAGTAAAAAGTTATACAGACACTTTGTAAGCATCATTTAATAATTACATTATTTGTTAATCTGTCTCACACTGTTAGATACTGACCATGACTTGCAGAATTACTGCTATTAAAAACACCACTTTACATAGCTTTGTCTTTAATCCCTCTTGATTAGTTTTTTGATTTGTACTTCTATCCTTATCCGGTTTTATTTACCTATTTACTTACACTGAAAGAATTTATTCTCATACTCCCTCTGTAATGGTGCTCATGTCTGTGTTTTTGCTGCTTCAGCAAGTAAATCTCCCCTCTTGGGATCAATAAAGGCTTATCTTTTTTTAAATAGGTCTTATTTTCCCCCTAAACAACATCCTGGTGACTCAGGGTAATACATACACTTTGCTGTGTACTACTTTCTCCAGGGTATAAAGTCCATGATAAAACAGTTAGTTAAAACAGGGGCATTATTTCTAGAAAACACCCGTTTTCGAATTTTAACTTCACACTTTAAACAACACAGACATAAGCTTTATTAATTTGAGTTGGATGCAGAAAAGTCAGCAGGAAGCTTTTCTAAAACTTACTTCATACCATCAGAACTATCTGTATGGCTGCATTGTGTTGCAGCAAGCAAAACTGAGAAAAAACCCTGTAATACTTCACATCCCAGACATTTTAAAATGGTAATTAACACTATGTTGATCCTCAGTAATTAAAACAGACTGATCTATTTCTTTCTTTCATTAAAGTGTTAAACTATCCAGGCTTAAAGTCTACCTACTGTCTAAAAAGGGGAGGAAAACTTAAGACCAAAAAAACATTGGTATAAATAATCCAGGTCCAGGCACTCAGATGGTTGGAAGAATATAAAAGGCCTTTAATTCATTGGGCTACAAACATTAAAATACACCAACGCATATCGGCTTACCAGGAAAACAACATCAAAAAAGAAACACACCATGTCAATATAAACACTGTTATGGGACAGCAGATGTTGACTATCAATTCAATATACAAAAAGTCTGAGATCCATTTAAATACAACATCATACCATGATGATCGATCTACTGTCTGTTGAAACATTAATCTGCTGCTAGTATATAACTGAACGTTTGATTTGTTTTTTAGTGTCTATTTAAAACGTTGGGTCATTTTTTATATGCTTTTGTGTTGAAAGTGTGTGAAAGTAAAACTTTTTTGCAGCAAGGCTCTATGAGCACCTTGTTAGAATGTGTGTGTGTGCGTGTGCGTTTGTGTGTGTGTGTGTGTGTGTGTATCTTGTCTGCACTTCAGTGGAATTACCTCGCTTCTTCATTAACACTGGGGCTAAATCATCAGCTGACAGCAGCTGCGGCCGGGGCCAAGAGGACACGAGTACTGATCTGAAGTAGATTAGGGAGGAGAGTGTGTGTGTGTGTGTGTGTGTGTGTGTGTGTGTGTGTGTGTGTGTGTGTGTGTGTGTGTGTATTTGTGTGCATGCAGACTTTGCGCTCCCACCCACCTGCCCTTCCCTCACCCTTACCAGGGCCCGATCAATACACCATCGTGGAGCAGAGATGGAGGATCTGGGCTTTATGGAGTCGTTACATTCCCCCGTTTGTGTGCGTGTTATGAATGGGCCCCATAAGGCTGCTGATAGGCCGAAGGATAGCGTGGCAAAGCACAGCCATAACGAAAGGCAAAGATGAGGTTCACATAGGCGCAGTAGTCAGTTCCTCTTTTATAACATCATTTCGATTAGGTTATTGATCCGCCTGCAGCAGAACAGACATAATCATAATCCCAAAACAGATCGGAGGCTGGCTGATTGAAGATTAGTTTGTCTCAGAATAACATCGGCGTGCCTGGGAGAGTTTGTAAAGACTTTTCCTTGTCAAGAAAACAAAGATAGAGAGCAAGGTTTTCCAGTGTCGAGTAGACAAACCAGGTTTTTTATAGAACCAGAACAGCTTGTTACCACTTTGATGGAGACATTGTGTCGTGAGGGAGTCACAGAGATTAAGGATTCTTTCCTTTAAATTTTAACGTGATTTATCTCTAAGACAGACATGGTTTGCCTTGGAACTTCAGCAGGCTTGAGCAGTTTAAATCCCAGAATTGCTCAGTGACCATCACTGGGATGAAAAAAAAGTCTTTATTGCAAATGAGCAACATTAAAGCATTTTTCATCTTTCTTTCTCTTTTCATGTAAAATTCAGTTTGTTCTTTGAAGCAAGACTTGTCTAAGAGCTCGTTGAAAGAAGAAGAAAAGGTATTTGGCTTCAGATGAAAACACATCAAAACATTGGTTATGATGGTTGAAGCTGGAAGAATTTTGAGCTACAGGGCAGTTGCAACATTTTTATAAAAATTCTCCTTCAGAATTATCCCTGGCTATCATTTAATAATGATAGCCAATGAGTAAGATACGCCTAGATTTTAGCCTGAGTCACATTAGCATGCCTAGCATATACTCAAACTTTGGAGCAGCAGTAGCATGGCGTCTAATAGGACTAAAGGGTATAGTGTTTTGCAGACAAGTGTTAGTGTGTGATGTCAGACAAGTGACCTGAAGAACATCATGATGGTACTTTTGTGATGCAAACCAAGACAACCAGTTTTCTCATTTTCATGACTAATCTACAATAAAAGTCTCTTTGATATCACCATCAGAGAACATCTGTGTCTGAAATCTTGTGCGATTATTATTATTATCAGAAGCTGAATTTTGTGGGGCATAGCTACTATTTTGTTGCTATGTCAGACAAATGGGAAAGTCAGAAGAATGACTCATACATTGAAAAAAAAAAAGATCTATAATTTATAAATATTTAAAATAATAATTGGTTGCAGTCATGCTGCACTTTGGTGTAGTAGTTAGCTCTGTTGCCTCACAGTGAGGGTTCCTGGTTCGAATCCAAGTCAACATGTGCCTTTCTTCGTAGAGTTTGAATTCATGGGTTCTCTCCGGGTACTCCGACTTCCTCCCACAGAGCCATGACATGCTTTTCCGGCTAATTGGTGACTCTAGAATTGCCCGTGGCTTTGAATGTGAGTGTGGCTGCTTGTCTGTCTCTATATGTCAGCCCTGAGATTGACTGGGCGACCAGTCCAGGGTGTACCCCGCCTCTCGCCCCAATGACAGCTGGGATCAGCTCCACCCGCTGTGACCCCGAACCTAAGAAGCGGTACAGAAAAAGGATGGATGATAATTGCAGTGACTGATTTCAAATGATGCTGTAGTTCTGTATTTGTGAGAAATTCTGCTTATTTGATGGATTGCCCTTGAGATGAACCATCTCGTTTTCGAGGGGGTCCAACACAAGAACAAAAACATTTATTACATATACATATAGTTTTCATAGGAAACACAAAATAAATATAGACTTGATTGCAGGTATCTGAAAGGAAATAAGCTTCATTAGCTGTGTGTGGTGCATTACAGTCAACTAAGGCTTGACAAAGTAAGTGGTAAGTATTTTGTGTGTCATGTTCAGGAGATTTAGTGGAGCCATTAACCGCATTGACAGCTACATCACTATGTTTGTACTGTACTCAGACTCACACACACAAACACACACACACACACACACACACACACACAGGCATATTTTCAAAGCCAGTGGCCTCGCAGCATTTAATCTTCAACATCTCGCCCTCTTTCTCTCTCTGTTTGCCTCCTGACATATTTTCTTTTTTTTGTGTAGCTTCCCCCTCCTCTGCTGCCCTTATTCCCACCAGTTCGTCTCTCTCTCCCCCCCCCGCTGGTCTCTCTCTCTCTCTCTCTCTCTCTCGTCAGTCCACCTCCAATCTCGGGTCACCTGTGTTGATTTACTGTCAAATCTTCCAGGATTATCGGTAATCTCACAGCAGTAAAATCTGTTTGCTGACAGCTGTGGTCCCTCTAACAGTGTTGCTGTTTCCTGTACACACACTGCCCTATATACCAGAGCCTTCCTCCCTCTCAAGCAAAGAAAAAAAATACATTCATTTTCTACCTCAGTGGATTCCAATTGACAATATTCTGCTCTCCTTTTATGTGCTATTCTGTTGTTATTGACTGTAACGTGGGTCTGCTTTCTTCTTCCATGGATTAGAGGGTTGAGGCAAATTTAATGTGGGTAAACCGGGATAATATTTGGTACATTCTCACCAAGTCCCATGGGCTTTCACGACATGTTCTTCAAGACTGCTCGTTTTGGAACATTACAGGGGATCGCTCACATAATAATGCAGCCATCGGTTCTCACGCTTCACTCCGTTGGCAGGTGTTCAATCAGACCAAAATGCGGTCATGGATTTGTGTACAATCTCCTTTTCATCTCGAATAAATTGAAGTTGAAATGGAAAATAACTGAGAAACAAATTGAGCCCCACACACCTCAGAAGATATTAGTTTTATCGATCCATCTGTCCTCGAATCTCTAATGTGTTTTATTACTTGAGTATGATGCTCTGATATTATAGTTTGATATGAAGTGCAGTTCATTACTTGGAAATACCTTTTTTCAATGATTCTGCTCCCACAAATAATACCTTGTAGTTGTGAAAGAAAGCAAACACAAAACAGAATCCCTCTAAGACATGTTTTCCACCGAGGTATGAAAGCTCATATACATATTTAATATACTGTGCGTCTTTCCCAGGTGGTGTATAAAAACAACGATATCCGCTTGGAGCTCTCCCGTCTGGCCCGCATCGTGGACCCCAAGATGAAACTCCAGGGCGACGTGGTCTTCAAGTGCGAAAACGTACCCACCCTCGACCCAATCAACTTCGAGACCCCGGACTCCTTCCTGGCGTTGCCGAAATGGAACACAAAACGCGTCGGCTCCATCTCCTTCGACTTCCGCACCTCCGAACCGAACGGGTTGATCCTTTTCACCCACGGTAAGCCCCAGGACAGACGGGACGCCAAGGGCCAGAAGAACAACAAGGTGGACTTCTTTGCGGTGGAGCTGCTGGATGGAGGTCTGTTCCTGCTGCTGGACATGGGCTCCGGCACCATCAAAGTCAAAGCTACTCAGGCCAAGGTCAATGACGGCGCCTGGCACCACGTGGACATCCAGAGAGACGGTCGCTCAGGTAAGGATAGAGGACTACATTATCCCAGTTTTCTTATTTTGAAGTAGACATAAATGTCCATCTACTAATAGAGATGTCTTTTTAGTTTAACATCGCTGTTCTGTTCTGGGCACATTACGCTGTAAAGTAAACTGTGATCAGCTCTGTGTTTTGGGAAAGCACTGGGGTGCCATTATGTCACCGTTTTTCCTTTCTGTCTGTTACACACACACAAGCACAAACACATAATCAAGAAAGGCTTCAATCACGACACAGAGCTTCTGGCTCAATTAAAAAGATGTTGCCTGAGGCGATACAGAATTTGAATTTATGGGCAGAGCTGACAAGGCAAATAAAATACTCCAGGAGTACAGGGTAATCAAACCAAGAGAAAGAAAGGAAAGCTCTAGTACAATATGTCTTATGATACGGAGTGCAGAATGGTTGCAGTGTAACTGAAGCACATTTTAAGAATTTAAGTTTAAATTTAAACTGTTGGTTTGTTGGTTGACAGTGGAATATCTCAACAACTATTTCTGCCATGACATGCAAGAGGATAAATCACTCTTTGGATCACTGTGCTGGTTATGGGTCACTTTCATGTTTTAAGATGAATTGCAATGAAATCCTACAATTCATTTAGCCGACGCTTTTATCCAAAGTTACATACATCAGAGAGTTAGTACAAAACAAGCAAGAAGGAATCAAAGTCATTAAGCGCTAACAAATAGCTTTAACTCTGATTAGACACACAGGAGCCGACAGTCAGTGCACAGAGGCAAAGCACAACATCGATCATCAAATTCTGTACTGATTTCAATCAAGTTCCTCTCAAGAGGAATTGCATTCAATTTACAAATCCTCAGACTTTTATCTGACATTATCTGATAACATTTAATATTAATCAGATTAATGATTTAGTGTATTTTGATTCTCAAGAGCTTGCACCTTGAACTTTCCTGTAAGATGTAAATTGTTTAAGTCAATGGAAATTTAAACGAGAAAAACAAACCTTACAAATTACAGCACTTTATTATTTGCACTGTCTTTCTCCCAATTGGACTGCTCCAGTGTGCAAGGATCAAAGTTGTAACCATCTTAGTGCTTTTTTCCCTCCTGCATCACAAGCCCTGTGTGATGTAAACGTCCTCTTTATATTAATTTCTGTGGTGATTTATTGCCGGGGAAAACGCCTTAGTTCTCTCTCGATAGCTACAAAGTCCATTTCCCTTTCTGCTTCCTTCCATCTGTATGTCCTCTGACCTGAAAACATGGCCGAGTACACAGAAAGTATTAGAAGAAGATTATGTTAGAGAAAAGGGTTAGAAACTTCTGTTGCCTTCAGCTCCAAAACCCAACACAATCTCTGCATTAGGTGGGATCCTCCTGAGGACCTGGCTGTGTTAGTCGGCGCTACAGCCTGTGTTATATATCAGGTTAGAGCAGCCAATTTAGCTGTGTGTCAGAGCGCGCTGCTTTGATTAATCACTGGCACAGCCCCCAGTGCGATAGCAGAGCAGAAAGTAGGATTTTCACAAGGAAAAGGAGGAATGAGACAGATATATGGATACTAGTCTGAGGGATGGTTAAAACCAGGCATAATCACACTTGTGGCTCGAGTGAAATGTTAATAAGAGTTGCAAGTGAATTAAATTCTTTATCCTCAAAGAACTCCAGTCAGAATCTCCCTGTCAGGCTTCAAGGTGAACGTATCACAAGTACAATGTGGGAACTCATACCATTCCTTTTTGTGTGAAGAGTGATCTTTTCTTCTCTTTGCTTCGACTACTCGACCTCATTTAAGAATTATGAGGAGCGTTTGATAGAGGTTATGTTCTACAAGAAGAAAAGATAAAGCTTTACCCTGTGATGAGAGATTTGTTTTTAAAGGCCAAATATGTTATCAATAGGTAACTTACAGTAATACAAGTCATGTGATTTTATTTTGGGGTTTAATAAGTTTCCCATTGTCTCCACTGATGTAAAAAATAATAATTTCAAACAGCATCTGAAACTACAAATGACCAAAAAGACTTGACAATCATTTCTTTGCTTATTGATTGATTTGTGGTCATTTTGGCTTTGAGTTGGGGGAAACAAGACTGAGAAAAAGCACAAAACAAGAGTGTTTTTTTAAAGATAAAATTAGATCACAGGGGGTGCTGTGGCCCAATGGTTGGAGCATGTGCCAAACGGCCGGCAGCCCTGTTTTTGATTCAGATTGTTGCTTTTATCTCTTGGGTCGTTCCCCGCCCTCTCTCTCTCCCCGGTTTCTGACTCTATCCACTCTCCACCTCTAGAATAAAGGCATAAAAAGCCCCCAAATAACCTAAAAAAATTATAATATAAAACTTAAATGGAAAGAACCTTTCAAGATTATTCACTTTGTGGTCTTGGCTCTTCTCATGGCTGTATATTATACGCAGAGACCCTCTGCTTTTGGATTAGTTATTTTGTTTTTTATAAGCCTATTTTACCCCTGACTCATTTTCCCCTGCCCCCCTCATTCGATAATTTTGGGACTCAAAAAGAGTTCCCCTAGAGAGTGTTACAATTTCAGTGATCAGTGCAATTTTGGCTGCCAAACACGCCTTCACATACCCAGGCTGAATCTCGGCAGGTGTGCTGTTCTATTTTTGTCCACCTCCCTTAAAACCACGCTTGTGTTCAGCAGCACCTGCAATTTGTTTGAATGTCTGCAAATTTACGCAAAAAAATCTTTCAATCATTGTAACCCCTGTCCTCACTTTTATCATCAAAAAAGTGTCTGTCAGTCTCGTATTCACTGAAAAACTTTCACTTTTCTTTCATCTCAGAATAACTTTTTTTCCAAGTATAAAATACTGCAAAATGAGGGCACGGTATGTCTTATTTTATGTGGAGTTTGTGTCATTTAGGAAATATAACCTGTTTTCTGACAGCTTTCAACATTTTGCAGACCACTTAAGTGGAAAACATGACATTTTATTTGAAATAGAGATATTATCTCTGTCAGTTTTTTACAGCATATGACAGCGGTAGGTTACATGACATGCTGACAAGTACATCTTTGCAGTGTAGCGTCTAGCTTGTCTTTAATAATGGATATTTTTCCCTCCAGGCATCATCTCAGTAAACAGCCGCCGGACTCCTTTCACAGCCAGCGGGGAAAATGAGATCTTGGACCTGGAGGGGGACCTTTATCTGGGTGGTCTGCCTGACAACCGTGCAGGCCTGGTGCTCCCCACCGAGCTCTGGACAGCTATGCTCAACTACGGCTACGTGGGCTGCGTGCGGGATCTGTTCATCGACGGACGCAGCAAGGACATCCGGCAGTTAGCGCAGTCCCAGAATGCAACGGGCATCAAGTCTTCGTGTAGTAAGGTGACGGGGAAACAGTGCGACAGTAATCCATGCAAGAACAATGGCGTATGTAAGGAGGGATGGAACCGCTTTGTGTGCGACTGTACTGGATCTGGCTACTGGGATAGCACCTGTGAGAGAGGTAAGACTTCTTTCCAATCATTCCTCTTTATGTGGTGAGTGTTGACTCTCTCTTAAAGTGATGATTTTAAATCTTATTGGGTTTGTCAGGAGGCGTATTGATTTGTTTGTAAAAGACTTTTTAAAGAGGGCACAGCAGCTGCACTGCTCCTTTTACGTGCTACAAAATCGATCTGGAAGGGTGCTTATGGAATAGTGTCGTGTTACTTGCTACAGATGGTGTTTGTGTAGGCTACAGAATTCAAACTGGCTACAAGAGTTATGAAATAGTTTAACAAAGTTCAAAAATGCCTATTTCTGGTTGTAAAGTGTAGCAGTGACGTCCAGCGTCTGCAAGCAGAGTGGACAGTTCTCTCTGTGTTTTCTACGGACACGAGTGTGACTTCAGACACTCCCTCCCTCCTAATATTTATGGGAGCTTTGCTGAAAGATTTAATAGGATTTCACTTTTCTGCCAAGTGGTTTTTGGAGAAGTGAAGTCCCCTTCTTCTTTTTTTTTTTTGCTGGAGAAGGTTCTGCAGTAAAATTGAACTTCTCTCTGCTGGTGAAATGGGCTCTCCTTGTCTCGGTTTTAAGAGCTTGAACGCATTAAGTTTTTATGAGACGGTGGAGATAGGGACACTCCAAGCTGGGGGAAGTGCATGTTATCGCACTATTGTTCAGATTGTCCTTCAATTTTTCACCGTTTTACTGAGATTTTTTTTAAGGGGGGGTGGTTTCAGTGGATGCCTTTAAGTACTTTGCTGAGACATGAGGTGTGTGAAGAAGCGTACTTGTAGGCAGAATAATGAGTATCTGGAGTGTTAGTCGATATAACTAGCAAGCAGTGTGACTGTGTTTTTACTGATTAAAGAAAGCCAACAGAGGATAAGGATCAACAAGTACGTTACATTTAGGAAGCTCTGTGTTATTGTATGCATTGTATGGACAGAAACATGTCGTGACAAACATTATGTTGTGGAAAGATTGAAATCTGCAGCAAAAGTTAAGCAAAGAAAAAAACTAAAGTAATCCCTCTTGGATCAGATGAACTCGTGAAATGAACACAGCTTCAAACGGCCATTCATAATGAAACAAAAGTTCACTTTACATTGCATCAATGTAGAGTGCATGTTCTGTCATGTTGTAAATGAAGGAAAACTTCCATTGGGAGCTTCGTTAGGCAGCCTGGGCTGTCTGAGCGATTTAACCTCTTCTTAGCCAGACTGTTGCATCTATTTTTGTAGCTCTCATGATGTTGTTTCTGCACCACTGCGGGGAAACAGCAGCTGTGGAGGCAGCACTGTTTTGGCTTGGAAATACTCCCAACAGCACCTTTGTGCCTCACTGACCCATAACGAGAAAAGTTATATACCTCCATACACTTACTCTCAGACTGCCCCCTTAGCTTGCTTCTCCTGTCCTGTTTCACATCCCCCCCCCCACACACACACACACACACACACACTCACATCTCTGTCTGAACGCTCGTACCTCTGCACTCTGTGACAGCTTTTGCCGATGGGTGATAGCCTGAGAGGCCGCCGGTCTGCCCTCAGGTTGTGGACCTGCAGAACAAAGCTTCAGTCTGTTCAGCAGTGGATTTTTACTCTTGACAGTTAGACTTGAGGTGATCTAAAATGAGCTGATTTTTTGGATGTGTTTCAAGTAGAAGCTGAATTCCTCCTGGTCAGTTTAGATTTTTGGAGGTTTCAAGCTCGTATAACTAGCCAGTTGTTTTTAAAGTATTGTAAATTAAGGCTTTAATTTCCCAAAGAAATTACCAAATGACTAACATGTATTTTATGAAGGAACATTTAATTTCTTTATGTTGTTGTTACGATGTATAAGATGTAGGGGTTGGGGCGAGATGATGGCCTAGCAGTTAGGATGCGCCCCCTGTATGGAGGCTATAGTCTGTCAAGCGAGTGGCCCGGGTTCAAGTCCAATCACTCTCCCTGATTTCCTGCTCTAAATACTGTCCTATCATATAAAGTCAATAAGTCCCCCCTCAAAAAAAAATAAAAAAATAAAACAAAATAAAAAATAAATCTTTAAATATGTAGGGGTGGGACAAAATTTAGATATCACTATATATTATCCTGACTTGTATACAATTATCTAACTGCTAGTGCCAAATCTCAATATCTTTTAATCAAATAAATATGTTGCTCTAAAGAGATTTCCCTGCGATTACCTGACTCACCGTGCCAGTACTTCATGAGTTCTCATGGTGGCGCTTATGACATGAATGACGGAATCAACGGATGTTAACTGGCCATTGAAGAAGAAAATGTGGTACAGCGATGAAAAGTTGAGAATCAGCATAATAAGAGGGGAATCTGACACAACATTGGAGTTAGTCCTGCACTTTACCTTTTGAATTGATTTAAATATAAGTTTTTGGAGAGTGGCTGTATTGTGATATTGTTGTTATCGTGGGCAGAGAATCATATCCTATTGTTTATCGTATCATGTCTAAGTGACCCTAAGGTTTCCACCCATAATAAGCAGCATTTTATCTTTACTTTTCAACGACTTTAGATACAGGAAGGTGATTCTTAAGCTAGATGTTAGGCTCCACCAAAGGAAAATAGTTTGGGGAGACATGAGGAGTTTGTACGGTTTAAAAGAGGATTAATTCATTTTTGCAACAAAAAAAAACCTGTATTAATTCAGCTTTTTGTGTATGTCAGTCTGCACAAAACATGCATAGGTTAGAAAAGTTCTTCACTGAGAGTGTCACCAGACAGGAAGCAAAGCAATGATACTGATGTTTGATTAATACCACATGCTGAAAGTTTTGATAATTCTCACCAAAATATGATATTTTCAAATCTCCCCATATAGAAATCGGAAACCTTTTTAAGTCTCTAAAAACAACCATGCCACATTCTCTGATGGTATGTTTTTGGGGCTTTTCACTTTGGTTTACAAACTGTTGTTTTGAGTGCCATTTTTTGTCGTTCCTATTCTGGGCGATATCAAGGTCAGGTATTGTAGACCTCTTCCTCTTCCTGGAGTATAATTAATCCCTCCGGGGTGTCTATTTCATCTGTACTCTCACCTGAACAAGTCTGAACCACCTCAGCCAGAGCTCCTGTCAGTGCAAAGCGCATTAGCTCGATACCAGGCGCTCTCAGTTTGCTGAATTGCTCACTTTCTCACGTAGAGTGAGGCCAGCCACCCTGTGGAGGTACCTCATCTCGGGTGGCTTGTGTCAGCAATTCTTTTTTTTTCACCTCACTACTCAAAGCGTGTGAGCACGGGTAAAAGGGTCGGAAAGAGGACCGAGGAGTAAATTGAGAGCTTTGATTTGGAGCTAACTCTTCTCTGACACCGTGAAGTCAGCGCTCAGTACCTTTTCTCTGCTTTATTTTCAGCGCTTACTTTCACCGTCTCCACCTTCACATAGGAAGGGGAGCTCATCTGAACTGCACAGGCCAAGTCATTCCCCCCCTCATTTTGATTGTCTGACCCTTAAGCGCACAGCAGGTCACAGTCTGATAAAAACCAAGATGAAAACATCATCTGCAAAAAGCACAAGGTCTGCATGGGGCAAAAAAATCTGTATTTTACAAATGAGTCTGGTTTCATTAGCTGTGATTCTCTTTAATGATGACTCATATTGCAGTTTGGAGTGGGATATCTTTGAAGCTTATTCATGAATCCTACAAAACAGAAACACTTCATGAAGAAATGGCTTTGATTTGAAATTTTTAGCTGGAACCGACGTTTGTATTTCCATTTTTCAGAATGAATGTGCAACACTTTGGTACAAATGGCATATTATTAGTTGCGCCTGTTGAATAGTGTTTTTTCCCCTCCTCCTCTGCGCTTTCCAGCAGCTCATGGAGCTCCCCAGTGACATATCAAACAAGCCCTGAGATGTATTCACACATGGCGCTTGCTATTGATCCCAAGCACGCGATATGGTACAACAGAGATTTGTGAGCGTATGCTGAGACAAGGGCTGGAATGATAGAAATCAGCGCTCTCCTGGGGAGAGCTACAAAGGTTATACATTTACATCACAATGACTGGCCTTTTGTGCTGACTTGGTGCTGGAATGTAAATAAGCCCTTCCTTTTCTTTGTTCAAAACCATTTTTTGACATCAGCCAACACCTTCTTTTAACAACTCAATTGGGTTTCTAAGTGATGAAAGTGTTTGGTGTTTTTGGAACTTGAGAATTTCCAGACAGCTCTCATTTAAGCAGAAACAAGGCCACTTTATTAAGAACACCTCATGCATCCAATTCAACTCCCTGCTGTAAGTCTATACAGATCTGAAACTGTTGCTCTGAATCTTTTTGATGACTCAGCTCATTTCATTACCATAGGAGTTATCTGTCATAGAGTTATATGCCATAGAATTCAAGGAATTGGGGTGTGTTGTAGAATAATTGCATTATATTTAGAAGTGTTTTAATTAATGAAATAACCTTTCATGTAAACTTGTATAGATTTTGCAGTCTCAGATTATTCATATGAAGGATTTTATGGATTCGCCTTGTAGTAAAGGACACGAAAAATCATTTAATGATTAATGAGTAGAATATAAACAAGCTGAATAAGTAAAAGAGACGTCTTCTGGGGGAAATGGATTCTGTCGTCTGTTGACATTTATGATATTGATTGCTGTCAACAAAGGAAGCCAAATTGTGTAAGCAATATGTAACTTGTGTTTTTCTTTGAATTACGTTTCTGCAGCCTCTATACCACAAACCTTATGTTTTATTTAAAAAAAACACACTATAATGAGTTCTGATACTTTAAAGGTCACATATTATACTCCTTTTCAACAAGTTTAAATAAGTCCCAAAAAACATGACTGACATTTTTTTTTCCAAAAGTCTACTATAAGGTGTCGATTCTGTATAGAACAGGCCGTTTCTGTGTCTGTAGCTTTAAATGCAAATGAGCTGCGTCTGACCACGCCCCTCTAGAAGGGGTGGGTGGCTTGGGATTTCTCGCACCATGCCTTATTGTTAACGGTAAGACGGCAGATTCAGAGGGCAGA